CCCTAGTGAGGATTAAGGTGTAGAGATGATGGATGGATGTTTGAAGCCTCAGATTTATCTTCTGTTCCTGGATATAAAATTGGTCAAAGTGCAGCAGCTCCATCTCTAAGCTGTATTTTAAAGTCTTGTTCTATCGTCTGTAATGTCAAATTTTAATATTACAAGGAACTAAAGCAGCAGATGAATGTAGTGGAGGCATGAAGTCGCCGGAAACGGAAGTACTCGAGTAAAATACCTCAGAATTGTACTTTATGTTCAGTACTTTACCTTCTAGCACCGCTTCAATTTCACCAATTTATCAAAATGTCACAAGCTGTAGTTCAAGTGGCTCCTGTTTCCAGCCACAAAGCATCATGGGATGTGTAGTTTAAAACCGTAAACACAATCATTCCCATTGAGAGAAAAACGCTCGACAACGTTTACGATGACAGACGTTAAACTTTATTCAGTTTCACAGAAAACATTAGAAATCTCAATAGATTCATCTCATCGTCTCAAGAGCTCATAGAAAAAGTGTCTTAAATAAACTCGAGCGTCTTAAATAAGCAAATAATAAATAACGTTGACCCACGCTTTATTTTAATGGCAATAACTTTCCAGAGAAATAAACAACATTTGGTACCAATAAAACACAAAATAGAGAAACGTTCAAATCTTCCAGTCACACGTCACGTGACTAATAAATTAACGAATGGAAATGTGCCTCTTTCTTTGAAAGAACTGAAAATTAAACGCCAGTAAAATAAAGCGTTGCCAGATGTTGAGACAAGACTTTAAAGGAACAGTCCGACGTTTTCCATCAGAGGGTTTATTTGCTCATTTTTTTAAACAGCGTCACTAAACACACACAGAACGAACCGACCAGCTCCCAGCGGAGACGATTCAGGAGTGTCTGAGAGCGAGCAGGTTCAGGAAAATAGTTTCAAGCGCAATTAAAAAGGGTAATTCTGCTGGTTTTATATATTTTATATCTCTATATTGTTTATTTTTTTTTAGAAATTAAAACAAAAACTATTAAGTGTTGTGCGGTTTTCATCCTCTGAGCTCCAGTCGTCTTCACCAGCTGTGGATTAATTAGTCTGTCGGTGAAAACAGTCCCCAGAAGACGCACAGTTTGATGTGTTAAAGCAAAGATGTCGTCCACCAGTCAGACCAGAGCTCCAGCTCCACCGGTCTCCTCAATTAACTGATGAAACGGTGGAAAACGCTCGTCATGGTGAATGCAGAACAACAAAATACATCTGCACGGTTTTACTGTTCTCTGTCTATAAAAATAACTTTGAATAGTTTGATCGCTGCAGCTCGATCAGCGTTTTGGTCCTTTTTTTTTTTCCTCTTTATGGTTTATATGAGGCGTGTCAGAAAGGTGTCACAGAAGATATATTTCACATCCTCTTCAGGGTAACCCCAGCACGTCTACTAAGAGCTCCTGTGATGTTTGCTTTGTTCAGTGCGAGACGAGGCGAGAGTCGTGGCTGCTTCACCATGACAACGCCCTGAGCATCAACAGTTCCTGGCTGAGAAGAACAACCTCCCTGCTCGCCCCACATGGCTCCGTGGGATTGTTTCCTCTTCCCCAAGCTCTAGGGGGTCATCGAGGATCCTTCCAGGAGTGCATGGCGGCGTGCCGGAGAAGGCTGGGGAAGTGCGTTTGGGTTTGAACTACATCTTTTGTGACACCAGTCCTGGAACCTTTCTGACACACCTCATATGTCGTCCATTTTCCACAATTTTCTGACAATTAATAAACAAAACCATCAGTTAATTGAGAAGACGTCCAGGTTCTAGTGGTGCTGAAGCGTTTTCAGATCTTCCAGTGGGTGTGGAGCTCCAGACAGGAGAGCCAGAGATGATTGGATCACCACCAGATTTATTGTTGAACCATTTTCCCGAAAAAGTGAGAAAAATGAAATCGGGCGTGTGAGGATGTGCCGATGGACGAAAACAGAACTAGTATTTGGTAATTAATGAGTAAATCCATGGCGCTGAGGCGTTCCCACCAGAGGTGAACCTGTGACTCAGTAGACCTTCATGTTTCTGCTGTCTGGGGGTTGTGGGGCTTCAGGACCGCCGCGGGTCTCAGCTGAGGTAGGTGAGGATCACAGACTGGATGGGCAGCCTGCAGACCGGACACAGCTTGTTCCTCTTCTTCAGCTTCCTGGCGCACACGTAGCAGGACATGAGGTGTCCGGTCCGCCCGTGGACGATGCAGCCGTTCTTGGGCCGGGACTGGCAGATGAGGCACGGGTCCAGACACGAGTCCGGCAGCCGCCACTCGGCCGACACGCTGCGCTCCAGGTCCGGCACCGACAGAGGCGGAGGTGGAGCCGGCGGAGAAGACGGTAGGAGCTCCTGGGAGTCGATGGAGGACGACGGCTGAGAGTCGGGAGTCCAGAGCTTCTCCTGCGAGGACGACGGTTCTGAGACGAGCTCCTGGGAGTTGGGAGCAGACGATGTCGAGTCTGAGAGACACTGGGACAGGACCGGAGGGGTTTTAGCTCGCTTCCCGTCCGGAACGTCGACTCCTTCGTTCTCCTCGACGTCGAAACCTTCAGGAGTCACGACATCAAGGTTAGAGAGTTTAATAAAATACTAACTTTACTGGTGTAGCAGCTTCTGAAAACAAAAAGGTACAAATATAGACCACAAAATGCAACACAAACAAGATAAACTGTGTGTGCACCCTCCAGTAAAACACTAACATTACAGTTAAGACCCAGTTAGTGTTAATTAGGGTCTAATTAAACTCAGAAAACCGACACAAAACACTAATTGACTATTGTATATATTGTTTGCATCCCTTTCAATATAAACAGTTAATTCAGTTCTAACTCTGGCCCTAACTGGGGCTGGATGTCTGGTAACTGGTTGGACTTTGGCTGCATCCACGTCAGATGTTTGTTTATTGAGGAGTTCAGGAACACAGCAGCGTCGATGCAAACCCGCTGCTGCACAATCGCCACCAGCGTGTCGGCCGTAACCACAACAGCAGTGTGATCACACCGTCTGTGCAGCGATAGCGTTGGACTAAAGCTGCCGCCTTCCTGAGCTCCTAAACAAACAAACGTCTCCCGTTAAAGCAGCGTAGCGTCAAATGCTAACGGCTGGTGGACGTAGTCACAGTCCATCATCATCACGGCTGGACGCTGGTGGAGATTTAAAGTGAATAATAAGCAGTAAAAGAGTCACGTTAACTCTACTTTTTGGAGTGTTTTCCTGAACTGGCAGCACGTTGGAGCTGGACCAACTGTTTATACGGATCAAAAAGAATGTAAATAAGAACTTCTTGCGTTGCAGCACACGTTAAGAAACCACTGAACTATCTCTACTAATGGAGTCAGCAACGGTGCAGAGAAAACAGCACAACATCCCAGAAGCACTCAGACAAGAACGAGACACAACATCCAAACACAAGCTGAGCAGCGTTATGTCTACAGTCAGGAGTGTACAGACGGATATAAAGGACTAAACTCAGCATCTGAGTGACAACAGACGTTCCTTTAAAGGCCAACGTGTCCACATTCTGGAAGACGTCTATGTTAGAATAGAAGAACCATCTCTAAACAGAGGAGGAGGCCTCTTGGATGAAGGTTAAACAGCTTTAAAAACCCATAAAGTTCAGCTTGTTCCTACTCGAGTGACGAGCAGTGAATGCGTTTTTGTTGACAGCAACAAATAAACAACAGAACTGTTACGTTGTGAGTTATTCTCTGTTGCTGATTAGGCCGAGACTGCATGAAGTGAAGCTTGTAAAATACATGTTTATGTCTACATGGGTGAGCTACAGACTAGTTTCAGTCCCTGTGATGCTACAGCGAGTGGAGGGAAGCATCTACAGCCACCAGCAGAAGTCTGTATTAGTTTAAATCTGTACTACATTTAGCATATTCCCACAGCTCCACCTCGCAGCCTTTTGGCGAGACGGTTTCTCCACTGTAGAACCTCATATTCCTACATGTAGGTGCACCTGGGCAGGAATATGGAGGATTTACAGTTGAGAGGCTTCAGTCTGAGTTCTGTTGATGTAGTTCTGTTGTAGCTGTAGCTGTGTTCCACTAGGGGGCGCTGGACCTCCTGCTCCTCCACCCTGGACTATCTTCAGTTTCTTTACTTATCCACAGTCGGTTTATCATCATCCACTTCTTTGCTGCTAAAACGTATTATAACCACCTGTTTAGTTGTAGTTATAGTGTCTCACTTCTTCACCTGTGATCTGTGGTGTTTCTTCTCTGTTAATTAATGTCAAATCAATACTCAATTAACAATTCCAAAGGCTGCAATTTAGGAAACACCACATGCAACAACTTAAAGAGTTCAACGTGTTGGTAATTAATTAAAGAATTCATGCTTTTTGTGTCACACTTTGGACAAAGTCTCGTAAAAATGCTCCAAAGATCCAGCATTAGAGTAACGACAATTTGAAAGACAGTCGAGTTAGTTTTCCCGTTTACACTTTCTTATAAATGCATCTTTAAAATAAATAAAAGCCTTTTATCATCTCTAATGTGTTGATTATTCTACTGCTTTTATCTTAATTTAGTTTATTTATTGTTGGGTTTTTATTTGAAGAATTCATTTGCAAAAAATAAATAAATCCTGTAAAGAACAGACTGGCTGCTGTGAGTTATCCTGAACATTAAATATGTTTAATCACTGAAGCTGTTATGGTACATAGTCGAGTAAGTTAACATTAAAGCACAGTGCTGGTGTTAATAAATCAGCCAATCAGCATTAAGGTCAGGTGGAAAAGAATTTCCTGAACTTAAATTCATCCTTAATTAAATCAAAACATCCCAACAAAACAAAACAGATTAATATGACCTGAAATACCTGATAAAAAATATGTTTATATACAGATAAAAATTAAGAGAAATAGTTTGTTTTCTGTATTTTTAGTGGCCTGATTTCATTTATTTTCATTGTGCTTGATTGTTCTATGTTGATTTTCCATACATTTTATGAATATTATGTGTCACTTAAAAATATATAACATTTATTATTATATGACAAATTTGATTTTAATCAGACAAATTAAAGACGTCTGAAAGCTCTATTTATGGTCAATATGTTTCATAATTTCTTTAAAAAACTTCTTCACTAATCAGTCAGAGTTATTTTTATCCCTTAAAGCCTCCAACAGGCTCGTTTGATTTTCAAAACAAAAACTCACCTGGAGCCTCTTTGGCAGCTGATTGGTTGCTGGGCTTTGTGGGCAGGGCTTTAGGGCTGGAGGAGGCCAGGTTGATTGACACCTCGGGCAGCCAATCCTGGCGCAGAGTCCAGCAGCGCTGACAGTTCCTGGGCAGAGGCGGGTTCAGCTCGTCGCACTTCACACAGCGCCAGTAGTCCTGAGAGGAGAACGAAGAGTTAGAGCGACAACACAGAATAAAGTAGAAAACTTTTTACATGAATGTTTATCAGATTAATTCAGACAGAAACACAACAGTACAGCAGGGAGCTACAGCAACATAATAAACAGAACATCAACTGATAAATAACAGTTTATTTATGATTTCTTTAACACTTTACTGAAAACTTTACCAACAGAAAAGTGGAAAATCTCATTAATCTGAGCTTTTATCTTCAATTTTATGGACATTTTGTGGTTTGAAACGTACAGATAAGTGAATAAAAAAGATGTTTTGTGACTTTTTTTTCCCCTTTTTCTGGTGTTTTTAGATGAATATTGGTGCTAAAATGTGCAAAAATAATCGCTTCACATGACTGAAGTGCTGTTGCCTGTCTGTTAAAGCATCACGAGCTCTTCCCTCCTCTTTAATTATGGCTTTGTTCTATTTTTAAGGATCGTTTTTATCAGTCACAGAGCTCCAGACTGCAGGAGTTTAATTTCCTCTGTGGCCTCGTCAGTCTGTCTGGCGCTACGTAGCTGTTCTGATGATAAAGCGATAAAATTTAAAAAAGCAAAATAAGAGCAGATGAGGAGGCAGGTGCAGAAAGGGAGACTCAGACACACCTGATGATCAGAGAGCAGCAGCAGGCAGGGAGACGGCGACTGAAGGAAAGATGCAATACATTCAATTACAACGGCAGCAGCAGCCTGCCTCCATCACATCAACACCATCGACTGCAGTGTTTACATTTAAAGTCACTGCTTCATCTCGGACAAATCTGACATTAGAACACCTGATTTCTTGCTCACACACCTGTCTGACCACAGACCCCTGAGCGCACCCACTTGTGTTAACAATGACGCAGAAATGTGCCGCCAGGATCAACGCCGTGACTTTTACAGAAGAGTGATGCTTCTTAAAGACGTGAGACGTGTCAGACAGACGTGCGAGTGTGAAAGGAGCTTTAGTTTTTGTTAAATCGGTGTTTGGACTCACAGCTTCACTGATCTCCGTGTCCTCGTCAAAGGAGTCGTCGTCCTCGGCTTCAAAGATGGTCACCTCGTACACCTGGACGCAGACACACAGACAGCCGGGTTTAGTACAGATACACAATAACAATACAGCGGCTTTAAGAAAAGGCATCTGCAAGGTGCTTGGACAGTCGAAATGTGCAAACACAGACAAGAGTTTGCGTTCCTACCTGATCATCTGCGGAGAGAGAAGCGTCGTCTTCGTTGTAGTCGTCCGAATCGACGGACTCGACCTCGAACTCGACGCTGAAGTTGTCGCTGTCCGAGTCCGAAGCGGCGACCGTCACCTCCGACCTCCCCGACTGCACACAGAGTCGTCAGAGTTATCGAGCAGCTCGGCGCCGACCGACCGGCTCAGGTGTGTTTGTGTGTCATGATGCTCACCGTGCTGTGGGAGTCCGACGACTGGCTGCTGCCTCGGTCCCGCCCGCCTACCAGCCCGCCAATCACGCACCAGGACAGGCTGTCGTCGAACGTCAGCGAGTAGCTGTCGGACCTCCTCCTCTTCCTGCCTTCTCCTTCCTCCTCCTCCTCAGACTCCGACTCGCCCTCGTCGTCCTCCAGGCTGTGTGACGGACCTGCACAGATCAGGTGCGTTAAAGCCACAGGTGTGTTTTAATTAAGCTAACGAGGAGGCGGCGGGGCCTCGGAGGAGATTCTCACCTGGATCGCTGCTCCTGCAGCTCCTCCTCCTCCGTCTTCTCCTCCTCCTCCTCCTGTCTGGTGATGAAGAGCGACTTTCTGTGTCTCCCTCCTAAAAGCACAAACACATTCGGATTTAGGAGGAAAAAAGCTGCAGCTTCTTCCTTCAGACTTTATGTTTAAAACTGTGTCATGAACATTTTGTACAGATTACATTCTGCACAATTTAGATTTCTTTCTACTCATGGAAAAACCTGCACGATCAGCAGTACTTTAGTATAGTTCTTGTTTTTTCTTTTTCTGCACGTCTTCCCACAGTTGGACAGTCTTCTAAAATCACCAAACTCCATTTAAAAATGTGCAATTTTATGTAATTTGACTCGTTTAGTCCACCTTAACGACGCTTTAGAACAACATGTGCAACATGTTCTGAGATTTTATCGTCTTAAAATGAATTCAGCATTAAAATAAACTGAAGTTTAGATAAATAAATGATTTGCTTCTCGTCTTGATTTTGCAAAATAAGCTGTTTGTTTGCATTCTTGTCAACAAGCTGCCTCCACATTTAAGCTAAAACCTGCAACAAAGTGAATCTAAATCTAATTTATAACTTACGTAGATATAAAGACGGCAGCGCTGTTGGTTAATATTTTAAATGCAGCCCTAACGAGCGTCTCACCTCCGTCCCTCTGTCCGTCGAGCTGTTGTTGTGTGCTTCATTCGAGCTCGTCGTCGACTCTGAGAGGAAAAAAAAGACAAAGACGGTTTGTTTTGTGAGAATCTGAGCAGCAGGATGAAGTACGGCTCGTCTGTTTTCTAACTTCAGTCACGTTAACCATCTAAGTCCCAGAACCAGCCGGCAGGTTTCAAAGGCTAAAAAAAATCACCAAAATTACTCCATTTATCAGAGTCAGAAACTGTAAAAACTGAAAAAATAGTCAGATTTTCAACTTTCCGACGGTTCATGAACTGATCACGGGTGACTTTGGGTTTTGTCTGGAAAAAAAACAAAAAACAAATCTGAGCTTAAACAAACTGAAAATCACTTTATTCTGTATTTCTTCTGTAAAGATTTGCCAAAAATAAAACAACCCGTGTGCATCGTTCGTTAAATCTTGTAGTAAATAAAACTTCAGCGCAACCGTGACAGCGTTCATGACGAACACTCAGAGTTTTGGGCTGAACTGCAGGCAGTGTTCAGACAGAGTGGAGAGCCACGATTTTAAAATGTTCATGGTTTTTCTGTTTTTTACATTTTTTAAGTTTCTTCCTTTACTTGTAGCAGCTCTGGGCACTTAGAAAAATAATAATATATCTAAAAAAAAATACACAACAGACAAAGAAATTCAACTTAAGGGTTTTTTCTTTATTATTAATTGCATTTAACTTTTTTTTTTTACTGCAAAGAAAAAGCAGTTTCTAAGTTCTGTCTCTTCATGTTGCAGTAAAAATGAGCCCACGGCGAGTAAAAAGCCAAAAGGTTAAAGCACAACAATAAATCTTAAGTTTATTCGTCTGTAAGTTAACAGTCGGTCTCAGTTTGTTCTGCCGGTTCATGACTTCACAAGTTTTATACGACGTCCTAAGCGTGTCTAAACTCGGGGGAACGCCGACGACAAAGACGCGCTGTGATCGACGCGACAAACAAACACTCGAGGTTTGTTCGCCGTCGGTTCAGCAGCGAACGCAGCCGGTCCGAGAGTCGGCCGGAGGCGACGCCAGCTGCTCGACTCGACGAACAACAAACGAGCGTCTTCAGTCAGGGAAGGTCGAATCTTGAACCGCATCGGACGCCTGAAGCCGTCTGAGGATGGAAACGCACCATCTGCAGATTTAACAGTCAGTTCCTTTAAGAGGACAAGTCGGCTTTTGTTCTTATTCTAGTTATTTCTAATCCACGACGGTAGTTTTTGCATATTTTGCAGCTTCATTTACAGAATTATATTACATAATTAAGTACTCGATTTATCGTCCCTAAACAAAAAACTAATTTTAACGTCTTTGTCAGGATCAACAGATGTGATATGAAGAATGTTTTAGTTAAATTTACTTTGCTGCTTTTTAAGTAACCAAATATTTCAAACATCATCTAAATAATAAACGTTCACTTTATTAAAAAGCACTTAATTAAATGTATGGATTCGAGAATTAAAAAATCTTATTTACTGATTTAGATCAACTTTTTATTATTTTAAGGGGTTCAGTTGACAAGATGTTGTCACATTAAACTAAATATGTGTAATTTTAAACTTACATTTCTGCTTTAATTAGTTTAAAACTAAATGTCAGTTGTGGTAATTTAATCAAACTGGCTTTATAACTAAATCAGGTCGGGGTTTCAAGTTCCCTCTTCGGACTAATCATCACTGGAGTCACTTTTTTATTTTAATTTGTCAACTGAAATACTTGTTTTCCTAATTATGATCATGTTTATTAATGATTACGATTTCAAAAAAGTTAGAAATATAAGAGGGAACAACTTAATTTAGTGAGTAATCAGCTTAAAAACTTGTGTTACTAATCATTAAGTTTGATTAAAAAGCTAATAACCTTAAATTAACTTTGCTAGTTGAACATTATTTCAACTGTTGAGCCTAAATAATACTTTTTTTTTAGTTTTTGCAGCATTAATACGAGGTCCTCGGGTTTATTTAATGTAAATGTGACGCCTCTTCGTGACACAGAGAATAAAAAAAAAGGAGGAGAATCATATAAAAAAACGTAAAATAAGGAGCATAAAGAGGTGAGAAGTCGTCCTACCTTGACTCTTCACCGTCACCAGGTTCTTGGTGATCATTGCAAACAGAACCCTGGAACACAAACAAATAAATCAGATTCTTCACATCCCAGACGAGCATCTCCCTTCAAGAATCTTTTTTTTTTTTTATTTCCGCTCACCGAGGCTCTTTGACGGAGAAGCTGTCGACGCCCAGCACTCGGCCCAGTGCATCCTGGGAGCAGTGGACGATGTGCTGCTGCTTCTGGTCGTACAGCTGCTTCTGGATGATGTACTGGCCCAGGTAGAACATCACCTGCACGGAGACGGCCACAGACGCATCACGGGAGGAACGTAAGAGCCGACGGGAGCTCAGGAGGCTCGATTTAGACGCGTTCATGCACACGTTTTAGATCAAATTAGACAAAAACACCAGCTGAGAGGATCAACGCAGCCATAAATAATACGTACTAATCAACAGGGCAGCTTTTAATCATCTACAAATAAAAATATATCAAAACTTAAGTCTAATCTGCTTCTATTTTTTCTCCAGCAGCAAGTCTTGTACATTTTTTTGGCATTTAGAACTTTAAAAACCACATTTTTATGCCGTTTAAACACCTGAACGCAGCTTAAAGTGCAAATAATTATTAAATACATACAAGTTACAGCCACAAAGAGTAAAAACTGAGCAGACGTTCTCCTCTAACTGGGGAGAAAACTACTTGAACCTCAGTCCTGGTCTGTTGCAGAGCAGCTGCTCCACATCCAAACTGACATCTGAACTTTTTTTTCACTCACCGCTGCTGATTCAGTAAACATCCACAGAGTAGAGCAGCTTCAGCATCACACACAACAGTCCAACAACCAAAACCACAACTCCCTCTTTGTGTTTCTGATTTGCAGCCAGCGGGCAAACAACAGCTTAACTTAACAAGCGACTCCTGTCATGCATTTAGCCGTTTATTACTCCAGATCGTTTTGTAAGCAGCTCTAAACCAAAAACAAGTTTCCTTCCTCACTCGGATTGAGCTCCAAGTCGGACAAACTGCTTCAAGCCCAACATCAAAACCAGTAAATCCAATCCTGTGGATCGTTAGAAGGTTTAAACTTCCCTCTTTTTTATAAAACAAGCTCTCGGTCACTCCCTAAACCAGGACGACCGAACACAAAAGACACAGAAAGCAGCTCATAAAAAGTGTAAAAAGGTGGAAATAAGAGTCGATCGTTCGGTTAAATCTGCAGCGTTTCCACTCGTCGTACCTCCTTCATGGTGAAAACATCTTTCGTGGCTCCGGCGTCCTGCAGCAGAGAACAGAACTCCACCTTTGGTCGCACCTGAACACACGAAAACAGGAAACAGGAAGTTAGTAAACAGGAAGTGTACTGCTGAGAGTATTTACCCGATGATGTTTAATGCATCATCAGTCAAACAGAGGATCAGTGTGGAAAACATCTACTCTAGTTCACTGATAAATAATAAAAATAAAAAAAAGGCATAAATCTAACAAACAAACTGATTTATGAGGATGTTTTTCTAGTAACTCTTTGAACTCCAAGTTTTCTTTATAAAAAATGAGAAAACGACTCGTGTGTGAGTCACATCAACATGAGTCACTACAACTTTCCGATCGTCTGAACTGTGGTTTGTGGTTTAGTTCTAAGAAACGACCCAAACAAAACCCCCAATAAAATCCAAGCCATGCATGACTCAGCTGTGACTAACAGTGACTCGGCAAAAAAATCTGCAAACATTCTGATGAGCTGCAGGCAGCCTGGATCAATGAATAAATGCACAGAGGACACATGCATCACGGTGAAACGTCTTTCTACAGCTGAGGAGCAGAGCAAAGACGAGAGGCTGGAAACGTGGAGATTAGTTAAATATCTGAAGTTTGTGGCGACAGAACGACAACAAAGAGACACAAAAACAATGTCAGCATCAAACAAACGCTAAAAAAAAACAACAAAAAACACACAAGCAGCACACAACTTGTCAAAAGTGAGACAAAAAGCAACACAAATTAGCCGCAAAGTGATTAGAATCAGAGGCTAACGTGTCCCGGACACATAAAATGAGACAAAAACAAGACAAAATTTGACATTTAAGAGACAAAAACAACACAAACGAAACACAAAAAGGAAAATCAAATCTTCTGAATCAATAAATAAAAGCAGCGTGGCTCAGAAACAGTGAACAGAGGACACATCCAGCACAGTGAAACATGTTTCCACAGCTGATGAACAGAGTCTCTAGAGGGTGAAGAGTCTGTAGACGTTGTAAAATCAGCCTCCACAGTGTTTAGAGTCACTGTTTTGTCTGGTGTTGGCAAAGTTTTTGTAGTTTTTTGTAGAATAAGTCATTTTAACTCCATCGCTCTGCACAGATAACACCTCCCTCATGGTTGTTGTGTTTCCAGAGCTGCAGGACTTCATGTTGGAGTGAAAAATGAAGCAAAAAGCCCAGAAGGAGTTCAAAGAGGACTGAAAAACGGCATAAACTTTTCCCAAACTTCCTCTAAAGCTGCTGGGGAATCGTAACCTTCTCAGACTTTAGTTCAGGTCGTTAATAGAGTGTATTTAGCAGTTTTAATTTGCAGAACCTTCCTGCCTTTTCTGTCCATACGTTATCACATCAAGTGTCCCGTCTGCTATCAGACAGTCTGACCGGCAGCCAAAAGACTCATAATCCTCATTGAAGCGTCCAAACACAGCGTCTCACCAGTTTGTTGTCGTCGGCCGAGTCGGTGCTGAGCCCCCCGTCAGCTGACATGGTGAAGCTGATCGATCCTGCACACAAACACCGAGCACAGATCAATACAGAGGACACGAGTCATGAGTCCAGCAGCTGAGCGACGTCCTCCTGCTGAGCTGCATGAAACCCTCCAGCTGGTGGAAGAAAAAAAAAACCCCTCACCAGGACTGAGCTTTAAAATCAGACTCCTTACTCTGTGAAACTAAAGAGATGAGTCACGTTAAGCTGCGTTTCCTCGAAGTCTTCACCTCAAACCAGGAGTGCAACTGGTGGTTATTTTAATTACTGACTGTTCAGTGTGCAAAATATTAAAAAACAAACACGTTCTCCTGCAAAGAAAACAAGTAAAAGGTTCAGGTTTCTAGTTTATGATTCAGCTTTTTTATAATTAGCTGTGAAGCCTTGATGTGTTTTTATAGTTTTTTTATTTTGCACACATTTAACCTTTAAACTGTGGTCGTATTTCCGTCTTGTGCTGCATTATAACGACGATAAAGCTTCTAATTCCAGTTTAATTGCAGACTAAAGATGAGCTTTTACTGATCCCAGAGCAGGGAAACGATAAAAACTGCAGCGTTATACACAAAAAAGGCACAAAAATGAAGGTACACTAGTGCAAAAAATAGTAAAGTTGACTTTGTACAGATTATTCGATGTGTAGGATTCAGATATTGCATGCAGGGAAAACACTGATGTTGCAAATAATATATTTAAGATGCTGGAAGTGAGAAATGTTTGTGAATTTTGCTTAAAAAAACAACTAAAAGCTGCATTTTCCAACAAGATAAATAATAAATAATAATGTGTTACTGTCCAGACAGGATTAGACTCTGACAGAAGGACAAACACCAGTTTTCTGACACGTATGTAGCGGCTGTGTTTACCGTGTGCAGTGAATATAAGAAATAATAGAAACTCACCAGTATTCACAGAGAAAACCAGAATCAGCAGCTCATCCTGTGCAAGAAAACAAAAAGCAGATAAAGTGCAGTGAGCAGAGCAGCAGCAGCAGCAGCCTCTTATACAGCAGCTCAGACATGTCAGGACTAGACTAGCCTGGTTGGCCCGGCCTAGCCCAGGCGGGCCTATCAGGGCCTATCAGGGCCGGCCGGGCGCTCTGGGCTGAGTCAGCAGCAGACTGTGTTCATGTCTGAACTGACAGCAACAGCTGATTTAATCGTATGGCTCTGAGCAGAACATGCCAGGACTAGTCCACCATGACTCATGTCTGACTGGGTTAGAACACCACGCTAACCAGGCTGGTGGTAACCGCGGTAACCAGCGCTAACCAGGGCTGAGCGGGGGCTGAATCCCCGGAGTGTTCACGGTTTCAGAGAAGTGAGTAAAGTTCATCTTCACACAGTTTTCCTGTTTCAGTCACACCCCAAAACTTTAAAAAAAAAATTTCTAGAAACCCAGCTGGAAAGTTGGAAAGAAAACAAACATTAACAGAAACTAAATCTATGAAACCATCAGCGTGACACGAGGAAATACTTAGAGACGCTGAGAAAGAGACAGAAGAGATTAAATGTTTGAAGCGATCTAATCAAACGTCAAATCAAATGAGTTGGATCAGATAACAGTCAGAGGCTGAAAGATGTGCAAAGAACTCATCATGTTGTGGATGTTTTGACAGATTTAATGATTGAAAGGAGTCAAGAATTTAGTGGAAATTCTAATTTCTGCATTTCTTTTCCACTTAAACTAATATTGACTGCAAACAAACAAACAAAAAGTTGTCTAACGTCGGCAGAATTGGGTTTAAAGGCCGAGTCGTCTCTGTGGCAGGTTTTTATCTACTTTGTTTTCATTTCCACTTCTAAGATTTGGACGCTGGATGTTACATTTTCAGTTGAATTTCAATTAATAGTAATAATTCAGCCCTAAGTGAGAGAAAAATCCAGTTTTTAACACATCGAATTACATGATGATCAGAAAATTAAACTAGTTCTCATGGACTGTATTTCAAAACTTTGCACTTTTCTCTTGTTTCTCAAGTTAAACTCCTACATTAATCTCCAGCTATTTTATTAACGATTTAATCATTTCGAGCAACATTTAAATCCTCTGATTACAGCTTCTTTAATGCGAGTATCTATGTGACAGTAACCTGAACGTCTTCGGGTCGTCTCAGGCTTTGATCAACACAAATCAAATCACTCATCAGCTAATCAAGAAAACCACTGACGGATCAATCAACGCTGAAACCCTTCACCTACTGACATGTGAGCTCTATGGTGGGGCAGAAAACCTCGACAGAAACTCCTGAGGGTCGGCTAATGAGGCGGCAGAATCAAAGGACTCTGATTAAAACAGACAAACATTAAGAATAAAAATCTGACATTTTGTTTTGTCATCAAGCAGAAACTTCCCTCAAGTTCAGGTGTGAAGCTTCTCATTAAAGATAAAACATTAAAACTGACGTTAAACACGACAAAGAGGCAGATTTCCTACAAGTTCAAAACACTAACAAATCTCACTTTTATCGCTGTAAACTCAGCGTGTTGAACTTGTGTCCTTTTCCTTCCGTCATCATGCGTTACCATTTTTATTGTTTACTAGTTTTGTAAACAAACAAACATATAATCATTGGGTTTTTTTTAATGCAAAACACCATGAAAATGTTGTTTTTTCTGCTCAAGTCTGAGATTTTGGGCCGTTTTGTCCCAACAACAAAAGAAAGAAAACATCCAAAACTTCACATCAATGCCTTTGTTTTACTGCAGCATCGTTACGTCTCAACTACAGAACGTGCGTGAAATCGGTTTTCCTAAATCGATGTTTCTTCCTCAAACTGCGAGTGAGAAATCCCCACTTCAGCAGCATTTAGACTCCTCACAATAAGCTCCATTCACTCAGTCTGATGCAGAGAGAACACTGTGTTCCTACAAGACGCCGCAAAAATAGATCTTTTTTTTTTTTTTCCAGCTGCTGACAGTATTTTCTCATTCATGAACCGGGCTGCAGCCACAGTTTGTTTTCTCCATAAAAGGACGAGTTGTGAGTGTGAAATGTCAGAAAATACTGAAACATGTCAACCTGACGCGCAGCGTTTCATTTTTTAGGTGCAATATTTCACTTTTCTGCATGTTATTTATTATTACAGTATTATTGAAAGCATTATTCTTGTCTTATTTAATTTGTCAGCAACGTATCGTACTCACATCCTCCTGCTTTTCTATTGATTTTTTTATGTCATTTAGTTTTTTTCACAGCAATATCTGACAAAACAACTTCCTTCCGGCTCATTAAAGTTTCTATCTTATCTCGTTTCGTGTTAACAACCCAAAGATGTTCAGTTTACGATCACAGAGGAGGAAACGAACCAGAAAACCTTCACATGTGAGAAGCAGCAAGAACAGGTTTTTAAGTTTTCTACGATCAGAACAGCTGCTGATGGATTAATTGCTGCAGCTTTATTTATGAAGCGCATAAAGACCTAACGCAAAATAACTTTAAAACCCTGTTAACTCTGAATAATCACTAAGTTCCCTCGTTTAATTTGACTTTTTTTAAAAAAATATATAATAGATGAAACTGCTAAATTACAGTTTAAAACATTTTTAAAATCAGATATAGTTGTTGACAAAAGAAAAATAACGATTGGTTCATACTTTGGCTGTTAAATGAGAGATGTCAGAAGTTTTTGCAGCAAAAATGTCATGTTGACAAAATAAAACTAAGCTTCTGCAGCTGATTCTTGTTCTGGACATTAATGCAAACGTGTGCATTTTTAATTAGTCAAAGGTTTCCTCATTTGCATGTTTAAAGATGAACTTAAGAGAAAACTTGCAAGACAAAACCTCATAACGATCCTAACATGAGTACTGATCTGAGCAGGTTTCACTGTGATGTGTATTAGTTTTAATGTTTGCCCTGTTCACATGTAGTGAACCTACTACTCCTATTTAGCCCTGATCGGCCCAGTTTGGCCCGAGTTCACCCTAAATGTGTCCAGGCATCAGTCTGTGTGACTGAATGTTCCCAAGCAGCTGACAGGCAGCATGAGTCAGCTGTTCGCTGCTATTACAACACACAGGCAGGAAAATATGCCCGGACTTGTTCTGCTCTGAGCGTTTTTTTACTGTACAAACACAACTGGAGTCTTTTCCTCACCTCTGGATCCCTTAAACTTTCACACACATCAGTGGGAGATTAATGAGATTAAGTTCAGACAGCTGAGAGACTTTAAATACTTTTATTTATAAAAAGGTGAAACATGTTGTCTGCAGGATAAGTTAATGTGCTGCTGCTGCCATCTGGCTCCTGTCAGCTGTCGTTGCAAAAATAAGATGCAGTTTATGTGCATGTTTTTATTTGGATTAAACAGACTGAACGTGCAAATACACACAACTTCATCCCCATGATGATAGCAGAGGTATGTCTTTAATAAGCTTCTATTATAACTGATTACTGTGACTAAAATAATGTTTGTGTTATTATAGTAGGGTTTAGGCTCTAGATTAGTATTTATATTTACAAGCTACACTGTCAGAACCACGATGACTTTACATTATTAGTACTATTCATTTAATACAGAGTAAAGAAATCATCTCTTTTGCAATGTTCATACAGAATCTGAAATTTGAAACAGCTTGTTTTCTCATTAAAATAAGCTGTTTTGGTGCTTTATTAACGTTTCAGTCACAATACAACCCCTTTGACAAGTGCTAACCAGCATTATATGAGTTACATTAACAGTCTGAACCAGTAAATTCAGCTGCTTTGGTTATAATCTGGGTCACAGAGCCGGTAAATGCAAATAAACACTAACTTCAAAGTTGATGGTTAACAGCTACTACCAACAATAAAACCGCGATGAGCTAGCCTGCACACATGGACATGATTTAATGCTGCTCTTCTGTATCAGTCATCAGGTTAAAACTGCAGTATTTGCTTCTAACTAACGCTCACATTAATGTAAAAATCAAAAATCACTCCAGCTGCTTCACAACACTGAAACCCAGTTAGCCAGCCAGCAAGCTAACAACAAACGAGCTAACTGCACAACTTTACACCAAATGTTCCAATTTAAGGTTAAAAACAACACACAGATATGAGATTTAAATAAACCAGCCACCGTTAAAGTTCAAACTCAATTAAACATATGAGCCCGTTCAATTTCACACTATCAGAGCCGCCAGCAAACAACAAACAAACGAACGCCCGCGTGCGGCGACTCCTCGGTGCGTCAGTCAGGAAAGTCCGAGGCTCTGCGGCCTGCTAGCGCGCCGCTAGCCACCTGCTAACCAAGTCGTGCGTCTGCTGAATTCGCACGGCCAACCTCGAGGGTAATTAAGGGTAATTATTGTCTACGTACCTGTTAATAAGCTGTCGGTTAAATAATATTCCGAAACGACGGTTATTCACCGGGTTTCCAGTTTGTTCAGCGTCCGACAGTCGACGTGTTTCAGTCTGTTATCGGACTTGTTCGTTTGGCGCTTCAGTCAGCGGAGCCCCTGGTGGCCGCAACAGGGAACTACAGCTATGAGTACCCTTAAAAAATATGATAGTTTAATATTAATAGTATTGTTATTAACAGGAAGTTGGGGGTTTGCTTTGTAAACTGAGTCATTTTCAAAAGGGGAACAACACTTTGCAGGGTTTTCCATTGATGACTAATCTGTTGACGAGTCTGACTTCACATTTGACCAACGAACAAATCCCCCAAATGTCCAACTTCCAACTCCTTTTTACTATTCAGTCAAGTCTGAAAAACTTTGACCATAAAACTGTGTAATGTTCCTTTATTCAATATGAAATAACTGGATATTCCTGTAATGTAAATAAATGATTCCTTATTTCTCTGTCATCAGTTTGCTCTTCTTCATGAAGGAATTTAAACTACATTTGAGGGAAATTAAATGCAAACACTTAGGAAGTAAATAATTTTATGAGATTTATTTGAAACTAAACTAAGAGCTTACTGGCAATACTCGTAGTTTATATTATTTTCTAGTGTTTTATTCCTGCTGTTTTGTGTGAGGCATCTTGTAGTTCCAGTTTTGAAAGCTCTGATTAAAGGTTTATTATTCATTTCTATATAAAATACATTTCTTTTGTACTTTGAATTTCTTTAAATACGACTTTTAAAATTTTAAATATTGACATTTTTCTTCTAAAACTTGTCTCGAGCTTTGTTTTTCTTGACATATTAAAACTTTTTTAGGGGGGAAACTGCAGCTTTGCTCATGAAATATGACTTTTTCACACAAAAAAAATCCTAAAACATGTTTTTTCTTAAGAAATTACAACTCCCCCCCCCAAAAAAACCCATCTTGAAATACTACTTTCAAAATTACCTATTTATCTTTAGATGTTTTCACAGTATAAAAACTATTTAATCCCAAAAATATCACCTTCACATTGTTTTATAGTCGAATGAATCAATTGTCCATTTTAAGGTATATCTTTTGCACATATGATTTTCAAATTAAATGTATCATCTGCAATTTAACTAGAAGGACAAAATGAAGATACTAAAAACATTTATCAACCTAAGGTGATGTGTGTTTGCATTTTTAAACCCAAACTCTGATCCCGCAGGTAACCAGCAGCAGCTCAACTTCAAATAAAATGTCAAACCCTCTAAAGATAACACAGGCTTTTATTTTGAAAAAAAAACAAAACAAAACAAAAAAACAAACAGATTCTGAAAAACTGCAGCGACCCAAACGCTGCTCGGTGCGATTTTAGCTTGACGGCTGTAACTCGTAGCCCAGCGGGTCGAGTCCTCGGTCCAGCAGAGCCAGCGACGAGTCCCTGAGCTTCTGCAGAAACCTCCGGAGCTCCTCTTTGGAGAAAACCTGAAAGAAACAAATAAACATCAGAACTGATGCACAGACAGAACCAGCAGATGATCGACAGAACAAACAAGAAACCAGAACCTGAACGAACAGAAGTCGTGTTGATTAAACTACAGTAAAAACACTTCTTTAGAGTTTAGAAGCGTTTCTGTTTGTCTACCTGGTAGAGTCGGTGCTGGTCCGACGAGATGATGTCGGCGAGCCGCAGCGCCTCCTGGTGTCTGGAGGAGCTCTGCAGGACGCTGAGCAGCAGGAAGCTGAGCCGAGGCAGACAGAGAGAGCGCAGCGACGCCATCTGGTGGCGGCGCTCCGAATCCTGCTCAGAGTCCTGAAACACAAACCATCAGTTTATTTAACCATCGATCAGGCACCGATTCATCAGTGTTTGTGTTCCAGTTTCCAGGCTCCACTTTGCACTACTGTTGGTGTTCTTTGTAGGTTTTGTTGTCGTTTCATTAAATGTTAATTTACCTGGAAAATAAATAGTAAAACTAATTCAGCCTCCACTGAACAAAATGGACCAAACTGCAAAACTTGTTGAGTAAAATGTGTTCAGAAAGCAAAAAGTACATAAAGTCTATGAAGGAGATTCTCAAAAAGCCAGTTTAAAATTTAAGAAATATGTTATATATTTTATGTTATGTTTTTTTTTTTAACTAGCAATTGTTATTACTAATTATTATTTACATCATCATCATTAATTATTTAGCTGAATAAATATATCAAAGCAAAATTAGCAATAATGAACATATTATTTTAAAATGCTTTAGCTTTACAGATGCATTCGACTTTATTTTCTTATTTTTTGTTTTTTCTGCAGTTTCAATTAATCGTTTTTATTATTTAAAAAAAAAAATTGTGTGCACATTAATCAACGTGTCCACAGTTTTTTGGTTAATTTAATTTAGTAAATTTTACTCTGATGTGTTTTATATTTTATGTTTTATCTTTTAAAATGTTGCTCTTCAAGCCCTTTGAACAACAACTAGATGCTAAACAAATAAACTCACTTAAACCTGAACCAGGTTAGTGGATACCTCCAGTCATAATGCTAAGCTAAGCTAAGCTAAGCTATGCTAAGCTAACTGGCTGTAGGGACTGAAATCAACATTATTTTTCTCAACCATCCTTAATGTTAAACTAGTTCCTCTCCTCCGTCGTATAGATTGTGTCTCTAACGAGTCTTTAACGAGTCTTTATTAACCTGTCTGTTGTCGACCATCCAGCCTCCGTCTACGAACAGCAGAACGTTGTAGATTCTTTCCTTCACGTCTTCGGTCAGAACGTCCAGACGACACGACCAGGCCGACAGAGAAGCCTGACAGACAGAACAGGAAGACGTTAGTGAACCAAAACAGACAGAAAGTCAGAGCGTTTACATGAAAGAAGACTTTTATGTCGTCCTACTGGTACCTAAAGGAGCCCTGTGGAGTTCTGAAGCACTAAAACACACTAAAACCAGCGTTTTCAGACTTTTACCTCCTGCAATATATCATAACACTGTCATTTGTTAGTTAGAAAGTACTAAATGGGTGGAATAAACCTTTAAAATCAAACCTTAATCAAAGATTTATTGGTGGAATTAACTCCTCGTTATACTAAAATATGAATATTAATGAAAATGCCTTAAAAAATAATGACAGCGTCTACCTGGTACTCTTTCTCTCTCATCTCGTTGGCGACCCTCTCGGTGAACTTGGCCTCGGGGGCCGGCGCCGGCTTCTGGGGGGCGGAGCTGCTGTGGCTGAACCAATCGGTGAAGGCCTCGTGGGCTTCCTGTCAGGATGTCAGGAAGCAGGAGCATTAAGGAGGGTTGAAGCCAAACATTGATAAAAAATATAAACATTTCATGTGTTAGATGCGACTTGAGCGCCATCTACTGGCGATAAAATAAAGAACTAAGAACAGTACGATTAGAAAGTGTTTGTAGTATTTTTTCCAGATCAATAAACCTGATTGAGAGAAGATTGAAGCAGTTATGAAGAGTCTGGGCATCAAAATATCATCAATATCACCATCAAACATCATTTTAGAATATCGTCACAGCTCTGGCTACAGACCAGGTAGGCTCTGATGCACAGGTGCTCTCTGATGGCGTTCTCGTCCTCGGCAGGTAGAGGCGGCGTCTGGCCGACGCCCGACCACTGGCAGTAGATCTCCTTCATCGAGTCCTCGGGAACTTTAGAAAACACGGCTTTGGCCGCGTCGTGTTTCTGCAGAGCTGAAGGAAAATCAAAATCTTAACATCTGAGAGGAAAACAACAAGTTCCACGATTAATAAATAAGTAAATAAGGACACAACAAGTACCCAGAAACTTCCTCATGATGGCGTTGGACTGTTTGAGGGCCTCGGCTCGGTGCGACGGGTCGAACAGCAGCCAGTCGATGACGTCGATCTTCCTCTGATCCTCCTGTTGGACCAACAGCATCACAGTCAGTCCACCTGCTCTGTCTTCTGGTCAGACGTCTGATTTAAAATGTTCTAGATGTGTGATTTATTGATTGTTTCATTCACTCATTTAGATTGTTGTTTCTATAAAAAAAGACAAAAGTCTGCTAAATACCAGGCCCAGACCTCTTTTTCGATTTTAAACATCAGTCTGAGCCTCCTTGATGACTAACAATCCTCTGTGTATGTGTGCCGTCTCTCGTCTACCTTCGTCGTCGCCGTCTCCAGCGTCTGGCTGTGGTGCATGAACTCGGTGTCGTCGCTCTCCCTCACCGTCTCCACCACCAGCTTCGTGATCGCAGAAACGTCCAGACCTGCAAAATAAAAAACGTTCAGAAGGTCTCTCAGTGAGGACACTCATCGTCCTCCAGGTTTCGGTTTCCCGTCTCACCGGCGTCGGTGGCGAGCTGCAGGCAGCGTGGGCGGAGCTCCGGCTGGCTCACGGTCTCCAGGAAGGCGGCGTACTGAGCGGTGGCGACGTCGGCGGGGAGCTGGCCGACGTAACTCGCCACGAGGTCGGTCTGCTGGTCCCGGATCAGGAGGGAGACGTAGGCCTTCAGCACATCGACGCACACCTCCTCCTGAGAGAGACGGTAACGGGAAGTATTTAGAATTAAACTAAAGTCTGATGATCAAACTAGAAAAAAAAATGGCTGCAAAACGTCCTGAGAGCTGCTGAGTAACATCAACACAAACAAATCGAGTTCAAATGATTTTAAATTGAACATTGTTGGAATCTGAGACTCAATAACTGATGGATGAGTGGAGAGGAGGAGAACCTGACGAGGAGCTCAGGCTTCAGGATGGGACCTACATGGGCTGAAAGAAATAACCCTGAACTGTGAACTTTACCTTCAGCGCCAAGCCCAGAGATCGGAAGAACAGCGCCAGGTGAGTCATGAAGCGCAGCAGGTGGGAGGGGAGGGGCTTAGAGGCCGTCAGCCAATCAGAAAACTCCTCCAACAGACCTGAACGGGACGGCAGAGCGAGGTTAAGAGATGTTTTCAGAGGCGATGAAAACAGTAATCACGTGAGTTCAAGTTCTTACCGTCCAGGTCTCCCAGGATGACGAACTTCTGGATGACGTGGTAGTGTTCCCTCGTCTCCTCCAAAACCCTCTGAAGACAGAAAACACTCGGTTATTGTGGTCGTGTGACTTCATCATCTGTTAAACAGTC